TGAGACAAAAGACTTAATCTTTAATTCCATACTCCCAAAGTCTAAGGCTTAAGCTAATACTTAATATAAGAGTTACTGCTTTTTGAGAAGAGTAAGGATATTTTTTCGAAAGATGGAGAGAACTTTTCTCCTTAATTAGGAAATGTAATACATGTCCACCCCAAAAGTACATATTTAGACCAGGGTTTCTCCACCTCTGTACTACTGATGTTTTGGACCAGATAAGTCTTTGTTGTGGGGCTGTCCTGTGCATTTTACAATGCTGTAGTGGCCTCTTCCCACTGGTCATGTAGTCATGACCTCCAAAACTGTGTTCAGACAATGCCAAATGACCCTGGCGGGGGGCAGTCATCCTCTTGAGACTCACTGATATAGACAGACCAGTAAAGTATAAAAAAGGAAGCAGAAGCCACCCTGTCTGTAGACCGTCAGTCCATGGATACGGTAGAGAACTTGGAAGAGGAGGGGCGGATCTGAAACCCATAGACCGATAACTGGCATGAGTCCTTGGACTTTAAATAGCATGAAGCAGAACCCAAGAGAGACTGAAATAGTCCATTATGAGCATATAGATCTTACAGTAGGTGATGGAGACAACACTCAAGTTTAGGTACCTCCTAAATGAGGGGGACACATCAACACATAGGACTAAACTGTGTGATAATAGACTGCCCACCTTCAAGCACTGCACAGCTAGCCTGTGTGAGGCCATTGTGCATGCTGGGATGGATGCCGCACACTATCCGAATCAGTGGGTGTAGACGAGGAATTTGCTATGAACTTTGCGTATATTGAAGTTGCTAAAAAACCAGCTGTTATTTAGAACTTTATTCAGCTCACAAAAGTAAATGAAAAGTTTATCCTTATCTTTTACAGATACTTTCATCTCAGAATTAAATTTTTTATATTTTTCCCAGAGAAACATCAAAAGTCTGTTAGACATCTATGTGATTTTTTTCACTTGGGGAAAGCTTTTGGGTTTTAGTCCTCCAAGGCCATAGAACTAGAAATTTTTGAGTTCTGTGTGATACCTTAACCTCATCAAATTATGAATTGAATAATACTTTAATGTTATTTGTTGGTACTTTGTGGAGTGTGGTTCTTGTGATTAAATGGCAAACAGACTGGGGGATTGAGAGTATGAAGGAGTGGGGTTAGGTGCGGGATTAAAACAAAAGTTGGTGATGGGAGAAACACTGCCTCCTTTACAATTTTTGCTTTGAGCTACACCCACGTAACACAAAGTGTTTCATGATATAAAGTCAACAAAGAAGCTAAAAAATAAAGCTCTGATAGAACATGTGCCCCTTTAGCATTAGGCCTCATTAATTCTCTTGACATACTTCCCATCAAGATAACTTTCCTTGAGCTCCTGAAACATATGCAGGAATCAGTGTCTTGCCTGTGCTGGCGTCTGTTCCCTCTGGAACCGCCTCCCTGCTGTGTCCTGCAGATCGATTACTTCAACAATCAGATCATCGTGGACCTTGTGGAGCAGCAGCACAAGGGGATCATTGCAATCCTGGACGATGCCTGCATGAACGTTGGCAAGGTCACCGACGAAATGTTCCTCGAAGCACTTAACAGTAAACTGGGCAAACATGGTCATTTTTCCAGCCGAAAGGTAATGTGTTTTATGAAAACTTCCTCTTCTTTCAACCTGTAAGATTTTCCCCATTGTTTGACAGAATTAAATGGTCTTAAATGTTGGGTTAAAAGAATGTCCAGTCAACTAAGCAAGAAAGGCCATAAGCATCCATTAAGTGACTTACTGCTAGAAATAAATTCTGCCTCTCTGGTTTATGAGATGACAAGATGGATAAAAATCATAATATCCAGGAGAGGGAGCTCCAGACTATTCAATTTGCTAGAAATAGGAAAAATGAACATGATTTTAGAAAGCATGATGTCATTTATAACCAATAGGTACAGAGGCCTTGTTCATGTGCTAGAATTTTGCTCCTGCATCTGATAATTCTGGCACTGAAAACAGCTTTTGTCCTTGACTTTTTACTGTAATCAGTTATAAAATGTAGTATGTGTCCTTTGCCACAGTTCTTCAGACTATGTGACTTTTTTTTTTTTTTTAAGATTTTATTTATTTATTTGACAGAGAGACACAGCGAGAGAGGGAACACAAGCAGGGGGAGTGGGAGAGGGAGAAGCAGGCTCCCTGCGGAGCAGGGAGCCCGATGCGGGGCTCGATCCCAGGACCCTGAGATCATGACCTGAGCTGAAGGCAGAGGCTTAACGACTGAGCCACCCTGGCGCCCGAGACTATGTGACTTTCTTGAGAATAGAGAAGTTCTAGCTGTAATTCTCCCCATCACAAGGAAACTCATTCCCCTAAACGAATGGGTATCCTCTCAACTCCCCATTTTCCACATTCTACAAATGTTACTAAACAGATCACGTTTCTGTAATAAGTGGTGGCAGTTGTGGTCGTCAGACCTTTGTGCTGTGCTTTGCACACAGTATGTTTGTCATTCGTATTTGCCCTAGGAGGGGCACACCATCATCCTTGGGTGTTCCCTACAATACCAGCTTGTCCAGCAACCATAAGCTGAAGGAGAAACATGCCCCATGCTCCGTCGCTTCCGTAAAGAAAGCAAACATTTCTGCTCCTCCATATTTTCATGTAAATCTATGACACACTGCCAATTTTTTTTAACACGAATAAGTCTATTTTCTAACTTCGTCCCCTTTGAAATTATGTAATCTGAACAGATAGATAAAGCACAAATCATCAAGAAATAGATTACTGGCTGATATTTATTTTAGGCCAGTTTATTTCTAAGAGATGTTCCTTGGTCTGTTACTGAGAATTGACTTGGATCCCTACTACAAGTCAGTCAGCTGTCAGATACTATGGTCTGACCTTTGACATTAGGGTTCTGGTCATAGGTATTCTCCAGTCATTTCCCATGTATAACACAAGTGCTTAATAAGTGCCTCTCACTTCCCAGGCATAATTCTGGGTGCTGGGGACAGAGCAGTGAGCCAAGTTAGAAGCATCCTACCCCATTTAGAGTGATCTGTTGTAAGATGGTATTATTACATGGGCAGATGTCCCATTTTCGAGGGATGGGTTATCTCCGTCCTTTATAATCACAACCCAGGTTTTGGAGACTCACCTAACATCTTGCCTACCAGATGGTAGATAATCAGTGTTTGTAAAATTGAATTGAATTTGGTCACGATCATACCAAATACATCTTATGGAATATTGAATTTTAAACTAAAACACGCAGGGCTCCACTTCATTTAAATAAATAACTGTGAATCTCATGATAAGTCACTTCATTTTGATTCACCTTAGCCATTTATACACCTGACTTAAATTTGTCCACCAAATATTTTGAAATAGAGTCTCATTCTTAAGGTAGCCACTGTACATGGTACTTTTAAGCAGTTGTCACTGATTTGATAAGAAATTGCAAAATAATGATTTATCTGGGAAGACCGGAATTCTTTTTTTTAAGATTTTATTTCTTTATTTGAGAGAGAGAATGAGTGAGTGGGCAGGGGGTTGGAGCAGAAGGAGAGGGACAAGCAGACTCCCTGATGAGCACAGAGCCCAGCGCTGGGCTCAGTCTCAAATCAAGAATCGGACGCCCAACTGACTGAGCTACCCAGGCGCCCCAGGAATTTTCTTTTTTTTTTTTTTCTTTAAATGTGGAAACCCAGGTTTCTCTGACTCTCCAGCTAGGTGGCTCTTTTTTCCAGCATCACTACCTGCCCCCGCCTTGTCTGACAAGGTGAGGGGGGTGATGCTGGAAGAAGTCCCCCCTGAGATGGGGACTTTTAAAGTGTGTTAATTTCTGGGATTATTGCCCTGACGAAGGAAAAATGGAATAACCAAGCTGTCAGGATATTTTCATCACTATGAATCTTTCTGTTAAATAATGCTATTATCCTGTATATTATGCCAGGTGTTATCATTTGCTGTTGGTTGCAGATTAGTTTGAGTTACTGGCATGTTAAATAAGAGGTTTCTGCCTTGTATTTATTTAGAGGCTAAATGGTTTCTTATACATTAAAGTTATCATGGAGAGATAGGCAAATGATCCAATAAACCACGACATTACTATTTAAAGTATTATGAACATATAAAGTTAAATAATATACAAAAGTTATTTTTAAAACGTAAAGAAAAATCTAAAACCTTCTGTGTTCAGATCACTTGAGACTTTACAGTATCCAAATGTAAGAATATTCAATTAGTGTGGGCATCTCCTGGGTCCTTTTCCATGAGGAGTTTTATAAATGAAAGGGTTTTGTAAGATGGTTAACGAGAGAGAGAAGGAAAGAGGGATTCCATTTTTTGGCGACCTCTCTGTATGTTGTATACTTTGATCTCCATGGTTCATTTAAGCTTCAGAACAACTGTCTGGGATAAATAACTATTTAAGGACACAGAGCAAGTAGATGGTAGAGCCAAGATTTGAACCTCGGAAGTCTGACTCTCATTTACTGTAATTATTCACTTTTCTGATTAATAAACTAACTATTCCTTTACTAGTCCAGTTATCATGCAGAAGCCACCATCCTGGTTGGGGTTGTTTGTTAGCTAACAGTGCAACTTAAGTTTTTGTGTGTAACTGCACTCAGTGCTTTATGGATTCTTAGGTGTCTGCTTTAGAACCTGTAAGATACTGCGTGATCCTTCACAGGGCAGACAAAGGAGTCTGGGCGCTACTGTAACAAGGAAAATTGCAGGAAACTGTGGAGACCACCACCATTTCCATAAACTATTCCTCTTCAGTGAGAAATAGCTACAGGAAGTTGACCTTCTTTGAAATGACAGCCCTGAGCTTGACTCCCAGCTCAGCAAAAGACAAGTGAGCCAGGCCATTGTGTACATAGGAGAGCAGACATTACATATGGTCCCAAGAATACTTCCCAGAACAACCACCTATGAGCTATGGGACTTGGGCCAATTACCTGATTGATACTCTCTGACCCTTAGAGTCCTTGTATGTAAAAGAGAGCTCCTAATACTTACTTTAAATACTTACTTACTTTAAATCTCAGTTGTGAGGACTGCATGAGATGTACGTGCCCAGCAGACTGCAAGCCCTCGGTGTGATGCTCCGTAAGTGGAGCTTGGAGCAGAAAGAGACTGTATCAGTCAGGGTAGGCTGGGCCACTTAGGGCGGCAGCCAGGCTTTCAGCGTCAGAGACAACAGAAGTCCGTTCCTGTCCCAGGGACCCGGACTTCTTCCGTCTCGTCCATCCCCTTGCCGCTGTCCTTCTCTGCATCCAGCTAGTGGGAGGAGAGGGTCACCTACTTCTTACCAGCTTTGGCCCGACACAGACACACTTCCTTTCCCCTCACCGTCCGCTGTCGAGCACCTGGTCACTTGGTCATATCCAGCTGCCAGGGTGGCTGGGAAGTGAAGTCCACCCGTGTGGACTTCCGGTGAAAGCTCGCAGGCTTTACCACATAAGCCCCACACAGGGCCATTTCATTCGTAATGGTATCCAGATTTGTGACACTGCCATCATCTTATATGACATTGGAGTATATTTTTAGGGAAGTGAAAATAATCTGTTTTCAAAATCATCTCCTTATTGCTTTCTTAGATCTGCGCCTCAGACAAAATCCTGGAGTTTGATCGAGATTTTCGAATTCGACATTACGCAGGTGACGTAGTGTGAGTATCTTACTTTGGTACCTAATACGATGACTTGCATGCAGCTTCACTTCAGAAAATAGAACCAGAATCCTATTCATTTGTGTTTTTTAGTCATTTCATAGGGTAATATAGTTTCATCTCCTCACTTAAAAAAAAAATTCGCTTAGCTTCATTCATTCCTTGCTTTTCAAACTTTTCTTGAACACACACGGCGGCAGCCATGCACACAGCCCCTGGCATAGTTGGCATTCAGTCAGATCAGCTGATGGATAAATAAATCATGGGAGAATATTAATGAGGAGAGAAAGATGGGTAAGGTGGGCCTTTTTCTGAAGAAGCTAACAGTTCAGTGGCGGACACAAGCAGATACATGACAAGTCGCTATAATGAAGAATGGGAGGGGTCAAACTAGAGATGCATGAGGCCTTATGGAAACACTGAGGAGGGATAATCATGCCAGGGTGAGGAGTGTAGAGAGGTTTTGGTGGAGGAAGTGACATTTAAGCTGAGTCATCAAAGTAAAAGAGGTTTAGTCAGGGGAAAGAATTGGGAAGGGAGGGCATTCCAAGCAGAAGAGCCAGGAGGCTCACGGGCCCAGAGCCAAGAGCCACCATCGCTTGCAAAGAACTACAAGCAGTTGGGTAACTACATAAGCAGAAACTAGTTTTGCCATATTATTTTCCAAATGTCAGTTGAAAAAGTAAAATTCTCACAAGCCACATTTTCTGGTCCCAATATAAGAAAAGTAGAAATTGATAAGAAAATAAAACTATCTTAATATCTGAGTCCCCTAGGGCTGCTACAACAGATTGGTGGCTTAACATGAGAGAAATGTTTGCCTTCCCAGTTCTGGAGGCCAAAAGTCCGAACCTTAGGTGGCTCAGGGCCACACGCTGGAGGATGCCTGTTCCTCTCCTCTGTCAGCTTCTGGTGGCTGCAGACATTGCTTGGCTTGCGGCTACATCTCTCCTGTCTCTGCCTACGTGGTCACGCTGCTGCCTCCTCCTTGGTGTGTCTGTTAAAACTCCCTCTGCCTCTATCTTTTTTTTTTTTTTTTTAAGTAGGCTCCACACCCAGCATGGAGCCCAGTGCAGGCCTTGAACTCACAACCCTGAGATCAAGACCTGAGCTGAGATCAAGAGTCAGACGCTCAACTGACTGAGCCAGCAGGCAGCCCTGCCTCTGTCTTAAAACTACAATTGTGGTGGCATTTAGGGCCCACCTGGGTAATACAGGATCAGTTTCTCCTCTCAAGATCCTTAACGTAATCACACCTTTTGTCATAAGAAGATCACACTCACAGGGGCTGGGGAATTTGACATGGCTGTCTTTCGGGTCAGGGAGGTGCATTTTTCAGCCTGCTACACTTAGGATGCTTTGTCCACTGAACACTGCTTCTTACCTGATTGTTCTTTAGTTTCCTCTTTTCCTTCCTCCTTATTTTTTACATTAGGAGCTCTCTTCATCATAACCCGTTACAGGAAGAGATTACATAACAACAACAACAACAAAAAGGCAAATGATCATCTCTACAAATGCCGAAAAGACATTTGAAGAAATTTTAATAGCTGCTCCTGATTTAAATTAAAACTCTGAGTCATAAGATAATACAGCTCGAGATGATCACCCCATCTGTCAAACTAGCCATTAGTGCTGGAATGGCACCATTCTCCACTTGTTCTGGTCCCATTCCCAGGTTCCAGAACACTGAAGAGGGGAGATGCAGCAGTGTGCACACTCTCCTGCTGAAAAGGCGGGTCTCACTTACAGGACGCTTCCATTCAGTTCGGAAGCATCAAAGCAGAGCTGGTCAGAGGCCTTGGAGACCCGCTAGTCTGGCCCCTTTGTTTTATAGATGGAGAGAACTTAAGGAAAGTGTGTAATAACACTTTCACCCAAGGACACACAGCAAGTTTATGGAGTAGCTGAGCCAGGAACTGGTTTCCAGCCTCCTAGTCCAGAATGCTAACTGACCCTTCTGAGGGATATTCAGTGCCTCAGACTTCCCCTTCTCTCCTTCAGCCCTTCAGTCCTTTTCTAGATTCTTACTGCATATCTTCTGTGTGCACAATGTTTTACAAGGTGTGGTCTCTCCCACAAAGACCCTTCCATGTAAGATTGCATACATACCTATATGGTTGTGTGTGTGTGTGTTTATTTCTACTCAGAAATGTGCATGCACATAATATACACACATTTACATGCATACATCAGTACATTTAAAAGATGGTCTAAAATAATCGCCATACAACTAATAACAGTATTGTCAGAATTTAGAATAATTACATGATGTAATACTTGTGTGAGAAGCCCAGGAAGGCTGATGCTAGTCCTTAGATGCTAGGAATTATTTTTAAAGGGAGAAGTGGGAAGGGTGCTAGAAATATTCAGGAAATAGTAACTAGGTCCATTTAAGTGGAGTGTGTCCTTTTTGTGGCATTAGAGAAGTGGAAATGCCTGGAAAAGTAGATTGAGATCAAATCATAATGAGTCTGAGAGGCCAAAATAAGGACTTTGCAGTTTGAATGTTCTAGGTTAGACAAAAGATTCAGAGTCAAGGGGCTTCAGGGTTTCAGTCAGAAGTGACTTGAAGGTCTTAGGAAGCGGATCTAGGATGTAGGAGGCAAGGAAGGAATTTGGGACCTGGTGACCTTAAAGCTCCTCTTGGCACTACAGCCTGAAGGAACCTTCTCAGAGAATTAAATACATGAGGCTGGCACATTGGTGAGGGGTCAGGGTAAGACATCTGAGAATTATCTACATCGATGTGATGATTGTCAAGGAAGAAAATACAGTCAGGCAAGAAAGTCGAGCTGTCAGGAGCAGGTACGTCTAGAGGTCTGTTTGCACGGCCTCTGAGCCTCTGTCCTAGTCACCCTGACTCTCCATCACTTGTGTGCCCCCCAGCAGTGCACGTGCTCCTGCTGGAGTCCATGGCCATCGCTGCAACAGAGCAGCTCCCACCCCTCCTTCATCCCAACTGCCAATGTAGCTGGCCTCCTGACCCCACTCCTCTCCCTCCTCCAGACCACGAAGGCCGGCCTCCTTGTTTTCTCTCATGTACTCCATGCATGTGCCTGCACCCCTCCCTTCATTTGATCTGTTTGCCTGTGGGATCTCTCTTCCTCTTTCTCCTCTGCTTATCCAAATCTTACCATCCTTTGCAGTTCTTCTTGGATTCTTTTATCCCACCCTGAACACACTGAGAGAACTTTAGGCAAGTCACTTGACCTCCTTACGGAAGACACTGTTAGCTCCTGTATGTTGCAGTTTTGCTTTTATCTTAGGAGTGCTGGATGACAAACACAGCCATCTTTTTAAGAGTCATCTTCTTGAGGTAAGCAGTAAACAGTAGAAAATGATGGTCTTAATCATAGTGACGGTACTGATGTTTGTTCTCCTTTTGAGGAATAGAAACAACATCCCCTCTATTTAGTAGGTAAATTTGATATTGTTTAACCAGAACAAAGTGGACAATATTAGCTCTACAGATGATTGATGGCATAATTACCAGTGGAAAGGCTTGTAGACTTGTCGAAAAACTTAAATGTGGCTCTTGCTTGGTGAATAATGCATGTTTTCTGTGGGTTTTTTTTTCTCTACTAGCTATTCGGTCATTGGATTTATTGACAAAAATAAAGACACTTTATTTCAAGATTTCAAGCGCCTCCTGTATAACAGGTAGGATGGAAATTTCATTAATTATCTTTCCATTAAACTTATTGTGTAATACGCATGCACATGATTACTTTTATGTGGCAATTTTAAGAACTTCTGGCAAATTTTCTAGTTCTGTGCGATCATAATGAATGAATGAAATAATATATTTATGATTATACAGTCTATAAATTTAGGACGGGGACTTGCTGCTAATAGGACTTTCCTTGATTTCCCTTGGGTTGCCATGGTTTCTCTGTTCACTACTGCCATCCTTCTGGCACCCCTCCCAGTGTCCCCAGGGGAGGCCAGGGGCAGTGGGGATGGGGTGTTGGATAACCTCTGGCCCAGATAAACATTTTATACACGCAGATTCCCACTGTAGAGTCTTTGCCTCCAACTAAGAGACCACTCTTAATATCAGAGCGGCATCTAGTGTTGACAGATCCTCAGTGGACGGAACCTTTCCACAGTCCAAGAAAATGTGGAAAAGATGTGGCGAAATAACTCTAGGCAAAGGATAGCAAGTTCAAACCCAGTACGGATGCTTTGGAGAGAGGCCCGTAAAGAAGAGCTTCTCAGCCAGTTTCTTCTTTTGGGTGAGAGGAATGTGATCACACACTTACCACGTCTACTCAGTTGGCCAAGAGATCATCAGAAATGTGTTGAACACCTGGGAACCATACATTCTTCTGTGCCCCAAAATGCAGCTGTGAAAACTGTTTAGGCTAAGTCCCTGCCCTCATGGATCTGCTCTTCCAGTGGAGATGGCAGTTAATAAGAAAACAAGTCACTTTCCGGTAGTGACAGGTGCTGTGAAGAAAAATAAAGTAGGTAGGAGATTGAAGAGTACAGACAAGGAGGCATTATAGAGAAGGGTGGTCAGGAAAGTCTTCTTAAAAGAGGGGACTTTTGAGCAGAGGCCTGAATGAAGTGAGGGAGTGAGCCATGAACACATTGCAGGGAGAGCATTCCAGGCAGAGAGAAAACCAGTGCCAAGGCGCCAGGGTGGGGGTGTCTTGAGAACAGCAAGAAGGCTAGTGTGGCTAAAAGTAGGGTGAGGGGTGGGGAGAGTCATAGGGAATGAATTTAGGGAGGTCAGCAGGGTGTGGATCCTGAAGAGTCCGTGAGCCAAAGTAAGGATGAAGTATGAAGAGAAGCCATTGGAATTTATGATATGATGTGATTTATGTTTTAAAGAACTCACTAGGGCTGCTGTGTAAAACACACACTGTTTTGTGTTTTACAAGGGCAAGAGTAGAAGTGAGGAGACCAAACAAGAGACTAGTAATCCAGATGGTAGTAACAGAGGTAATGAAATGTGGTCAGAGTGAGTGGTATTTTGAAAGTGGAGCCAACAAGATTTGCTGATGGGTAGGATGTACGGCATGAGAGAAAAATGGAAATCTAAGATGAAGTCCGAGCAGTGGGGAAGGGATGCTTGAAGTGGGGAAGACAATGGGAGGGGCTAATTGGGTAGGGGAGATGGGGCGTTTTGTTTTGGATATGTTATGTTATATTGGACACGCCACTGAAAATGCCAAGTAGACGATTGTGGGTATGCACCTGGAACTCTGGGTAAAGGAGGGACTAGAGATACAAATTCATGGTCATCAGTCTGTTGACAGTATTTAAAGCCATAAGACTAGATGAGATGAACAAGGGTGATCTTAGCACAAATAGAAGAGAAGAGGTAAAAAAGACTCATTCCTGAGACTCTCCAGCATTCAGATTCAAGCAAGAAAGAAGCAACTAGCAAAGGAGACAGGGCTGCCAGTGAAGTAGGAAGAAAGCCAGAAATCTGGTGTCACAGAGGCCAAGCCAAGAAAAAAGTGCTTTAAGAAGAAAACAATTATAGGGGTGCCTGGGTGGCTCAGTCGTTAAGCATCTGCCTTCGGCTCAGGTCATGATCCCAGGGTCCTGGGATCGAGCCCCGCATCGGGCTCCCTGCTCAGCGGGAAGCCTGCTTCTCCCTCTCCCACTCCCCCTGCTTGTGTTCCCTCTCTCACTGTCTCTCTCTCTCTCTGTCAAATGAATAAACAAAATCTTTAAAAAAATAAATAAAAAGTAAAATAAAAATTTTTAAAAAAGAAGAAAACAATTATAAATTGTCAAATACTGTCAAAAGCAAAGTAAGGTGAGAACCAAGATTAACCATGGGATTTGCTGACATGCCAGTGGGACTCTTGAGAACGCTGATCTCAGTAGAGTCGTGAAGACGAATGTCTGATTGAAGTGGGCTCCAGAGAATATGGATAATGAGAATGTGGAGATACGGTGTTAAAACAGTTCTTTTGAGAAAGTTTACTACTAAGTGGTTCATCTGTGTGGATGCTGAGGGCGCCAAGGACAATGATGGAGCTCTCAGCACCAGAAGGTTACATGGGAACAAGAGGGGCTCCGAGTAAGGATTGGTCACGGGGAAAAGGACTTTCAGAAAGGAGTTGCAGTGCTTGAACTTTCAGGTAAGATGCACCCACTTTGAGGGACAAATGACAGAGTCTGGCATTGCTCTGTGTAGGGTAATGTCAAAAATTCAAATTGGAAAAACAGCTTCAGTTGGCCAGTGGCAATGTCAGCATGTGTTGCCAGGGGAAGGCAGCCAGGCTGTGTACCAGGAGGCTACAGAAGATGGCATTCATTACCTTTGTGAATGTATTACGGTCCATAGGTCCAGCTCCGTGAGAGTAGCTCCTCTTAGCGGTGGACTCACGTAATTCCCAAGCTCACAGGACCAGTGTAGAAACAAAGCCACGTGGGGATTTATTTCCAGGGGAAAATCTGACCATCACATGGAATGGAATATTTGCACTGCTATGACAGGCTGTTCTCCCCTATTGGAAAACCTGCTTGGGAAGTCACATAGCAGTGAGAATTCTAGTTTATTAATTGACAGTGAAAAATATTGCCCATAGAATCCAGAGTGCTTAGTTGCTTGGTAAGCATGGAAGTAGAACAAAGGGACTTGGGTAAATCCAACAATTAAAGGCATCAGGGCTCAGATGAATCTGTTTCACAGCAGGGATGGTCTTGCAAAGGTCTGTTGACTCCACTGGTCTTGCCAGTGGAACGGGGAAGTCTTGGATTTATTTTGGCTAAACCATCCTCCTAGATGTGTTGGGATGTGCTTCCTTTGCCTCTGGACACTTCTCGGTGCTTCCATGGCTAAACAACCTCCCCAAGTTCCCATCCTTTCTCTGTATATATTTAAAGAGTAATCCTTGCATCTCTAGTTCTGTAGACCTTGAGAGTATACTTGCAGATATGCGTGCATGTGCATATGTATGTGCTTGCGTGTGTGTAATGGGAAGAGGAAGGGAGAGAGCATGTGGCATGCCGGATACACAGACTTTATTTACTCTTTACTACCTCACTACTAAGATAAATTGTCTTATCTGTTAAACCTACTGGATTTCTGGATAAATACGCTTCCCTTTTAAGAAAAGGGCTCTTTTAAATGTTTGCAAACTATTTTGTTAAGATTACATGCATGACATACTGGCCCCAAAGTTCATTCTTTTTAGAATGATCATGTGTGTCTGTTTTGATTCATTGTGTATCAGTTCTACTATTTTTGATAATAAGTATCTTCTTTCCTTTATTGCCAACCTTCCCCTCTCCCTCCATTTATAATGCAAAATACAGAAAGAATCTAAATATGGCCAACAGTGAGTAAGGTGGAATTTGGGGTAGAAACTGCATAGATCCAAAGTCTGCAATCTTCGGTCTTTGGTCTGCACCAGAATATTCAAAAGTACGCACGTTCTACTTTCTGGAAATTCCATTCCAGAAAGTGTTAGGAAGACATCCAGGCTTCCTCCACACTAAGGGTTGAGAACCATTGCCTTAAATTCTCTCTTGGCTATAGACTAGAATGGAAAATTTAAGGAGAAGCAATAGTCCTTTATGTGGTCATTTATACTGATAGGTGCCTCATTGGAAAATCAGGGACTAGGACCAGAAAGGAGTAAAACGGGGTCCCTGAGCCACACACAGATCACTGTTAGTTTACAGCCACTTTCTTTCTTTCTTTCTTTCTTTTTTTTTTTTTTTAAGATTTTATTTACTTATTTGACAGAGAGAGACACAGCGAGAGAGGGAACACAAGCAGGGGAGTGGGAGAGGGAGAAGCAGGCTTCCCACCAAGCAGGAACCCCAATGCGGGGCTCGATCCCAGGACCCTGGGATCATGACCTGAGCTGAAGACAGACGCTTAATGACTGAGCCACCCACGCGCCCCAGTTTACCGCCACTTTTGATGGTAGTCGGCACAGCTCACTCGCAGTGGTGGGGGCTGGGAGCACTGCTCTGTTTTCATTCACAGACCCAGTCACTCTTCAGCCCACCATTTATCCTTTTTGCACTCTTGTCACTTATTCCAGCATTTCACAGCTATTATTTTGAGTCTCTGTGTGCAGAAGTTTACTAGGTATTTGGGGAACCACTTGGCAGTTTCCTCAATTTTACACCAGGGAAAGAAAAGTGGGCAAAATGATGGCAGTAGTAAACACAGCAGAGAATGTCCTTGCTGAGTCCTTTCTCTCTCTTCTCTGCCCCTAATTTAAAAAAAAAAAAAGATATCTGACAAATAGCATTGTAGGGTGACAGATGACAGCCACACCTGTGGTGAGCACTGCCTGACATCCAACGATGTGGACTCCCTATGTTGTACACCTGAAACTAGTGTAACGTCGGGTGTCAGCTGTACGCAAATACAAAGCGAGAAAGAACTTTCCAGGACACAAGCAGCATTTCGAGTTCCGATTACTTTAAAATCAAAGGCACCCGGAATGAAACAGGAAGAAAACCAGAGTTGAGACCACCACACGTTGTCTTTGAAGGTGTCTCCACAGAGCCAGATAATGATTTTTATAGAATACTTAGCATCGACCCTGGCCTGAAGTACACTGTGGGAATCGGATGGCAACATGTCACGGCAATAAAATATCGTAACCGCCCATAACGGAGTGCAGAAATTCAGCTGCAGGACGGGTTTTACTAGAAGGCGATGTACAAACGGTTCTTTATTATTCCTACCTGTCTTGTTCGGAAGAGCTGGATTTTTGTCGAGTTACCTGTTCTGTGGGAATCTTTCTCCCAATGAGAAGATGCTTTCACGTCCATGTTTTCTGCCGCGCCATTGAGCATTGTTTTTTCACTGGTGGCTTGTCCTCCCTCTAAGTACCACCAAACCTTTTGACTTTACGTATGTATTGTAAGAGCCGTGTTAACCATTTGAGGACCCTAGATGTCACTTTAAAGAAGTGTAAAGCATTTCCTTTCCGTTTATTTATTTAAGTCATCTCTACACCCAGCCTGGGGCTCGAACTCACGACCCCGACACCAGGAGTCGCACACTCTACCAACTGAGCCAGCCCCCAAAATTTTTTACACGTTGGGTAGTTTGGGCGCTTCTCCGTCTGTGGTATGCTCTCTGCTGCTGCACTTTCTCAGCATAGTTTTCTGGACGGAGTCTTTTTTCCAGTTAGGCCTTGTGAGTTCAGGCCGCCGTCCCTATGGGACTCCCAGAGCACAGTCCAACGGACAGTTTCCCATCAGCGTATTTGAATGTAATGCTCACATTGCTCTTCCTGTCCCTCTCAGTTCCAATCCTGTGCTGAAGAACATGTGGCCGGAAGGCAAACTGAGTATTTCGGAGGTGACCAAACGACCTCTGACCGCTGCCACCTTGTTTAAGAATTCGATGATCGCTTTAGTGGACAACCTTGCATCAAAGGTAACTTTTCTTCTCCGCATATCCATTTTATGGCCACTTTCGATGGTCGTTGGCTCCGCTTGCTGCCATAGGTTCCTTCTTGATATATGTCGTAGAGAATGTATGTGTGATTTGCCTTTTAGGTAATTGTAATAAGTCAAACTGAAACATCTATTTAAAGTGAATGTTATACTAGAATTTTTATTCCTGTTTTGTTTTTTTTTTAACATGACTGGCTGAAACAATTGTTTGTGTCCAGGATGAAATGCTTTTTGTTAAGGTTGAGCTTTTTATGGTTGTCGACAAGGGGAAAGTCTTAGAACTTTAAAAAAAAATACACACACACACACACACACACTATAAAGAAGAGCACGTGCCTGACAAAAATGAGCTTCAGCCCTGTACCAAAGAAAGGGCGTGGCTTTAAAAAAATCCTGAATTAAATAGTAATATGCCATCCATATATCATGTCTGGGTACAAAATGACCAGATAGAGTATCAAGAGGAAGTTTAGTATTTAAGTATTGTCCTTAGGCTGTTGTAAACAGCTGAAATAAAATGTTATATTATTGACAGTTGTTTCTGCTGTTGATTGCTCCTTTCAGGTGTAATACTGTTTGGTGACTTTTCTGTTTCTTCTTCCCCACCCCCCCCATCCCCCGCCAAAGAACAGATTTCTACTCTTAACTGCTGCTCTTGACAAGTTGGATAAATTAGGCAGCATTCCGGGACTCATTATTTTTAGTTCCTTCATTTTTCTCTCTCTCTTCTGGTGTTTTTCCTCTGTATTTTATTCTCTGTTGTTATCTTTTTTTTTCTTTACACCAACTTCCTCTCTAAGAATTTAAATCTATACTGTTTCTGGTTACTATGGATAAATTAGGCAAAGGCACAGGAACACATCTGTTCAGTAGCTTTCTATATCTTATTGTCACGATTCTTTGGCCTCACGTGAGAACTAATAAGCAGTTTGTTGGCTTATAGAATCAAACTTCCAGAAAGGCAGGGGTGAGGACACCAGAACCGAAGACCAGAACACCATTAGAAGGCTTCCTTTTGTCTCTTAGCTTCTCTCTGCATGTCAGCTCCAACCTGCCTCATCCCATAAGAGGGAAGGTGAACCTAGAAGGAGGGCATGTGACACAAGAAACAGAATTGAACACAGAATTTTATAAAACATGTTCATAGAATATATTATAAATAGTTTAAAAAATATATTAGATTTATTTCATTAACTAGAAAAGAGCCACCTTTATTTTCTATAATTGGTAGTTAAATGTGCATTTTTAGAAAATAAAAATTCTAGAGCCGTCTATAATTTCTGTATCAGGAATTGTATTCAGCTGCTAGTAAAAGAGAGACCCCCACATGAATGGCTTAAACAAGAGACATTTATTTCTCCCTCCTGCAGATAAGGTCCAGAAGCAGGCATCCCAGGACTGGTATGGCAGCCTTAAGGTTGTTAGGGACCTGGGTTCCTTCTGTCTTTCTCTTCTACCATGTGTGTGCTTGGCATCCATTCTCCTGGTCCAAGATGGCAGCAGGGGCTTCTTGCCTTTCAAAGGGACTTCCTGGGAGTCTCATGCAGCATGTCCGCTGCATCTCATTTGCTATCCCTAGTTGCCAGGGAAGCTGGGAAGTGCATTTTTATTCTGGTCAGCAGCGTACCTAGCTAGAAATAAGTATTCCATTTCAAAAAAAGGTGCCGGATATAAGGTAGGCAACTAGCCTGGCAGCTTCTGCTGTGGCTTCTCAATCTATGGAGGAGGGAGAGTAAGGGAGAGAACAACTTCTCAGCCCCAGAAAAGGCAGGAAGGTGGGTGGGGAAGCAACAAAGGAGAATGTTACTTTTAGAAAATACAAAATAATATGATAGAAATAAATCTAAATAATTGGTACTCATCATAAATATAAACAGATTAAGAAGACTAGATAGAAAGTCTAGCTCTATGCTTCGTCCAGGAGATACCTAAATACCACTGTGCAGAAAGACGAAAAACAAAGAGGTGCACAAAAATATTTCAGGCCCTTTCCCCAAAAAATGATTAAAAGCAATATTAATGTGAGAGAACATAGAATTTAAGGGAAAAAGTATTAATACAGATAAAGAGACTCCTAACAATCAAATGAAGATGCCCAAGACAATAAAGTCGCTTTGAACTGGGTACCTAACAACATAGCTGTTATTATCCACGAACTCCATAAAGCAAAAAAAAAGAACGTGAAAAAAATTTTAAAGGGAAAATTGACAAACAATGCTTGTGGGAGATTTTAAACCAACTGTACCAGAAACTGATATTTCAAGCAGACAAAATCCTTAGTAAGAATGCAGATGCATTGAAAACCAAATTTAAACTTGAATAAATCAAAAGAACTTTAAACTTTAATAAATCAAAATATCCCTTTCAAGTATGGATAGTACATTTCCAAGAATTGACCACATGCTAGGTCACAAAGGAAGTCCTAACCATTTTAACAAACGTATATACAGATACAGTCTCCATCCTCACAACAAGTAAAATAAAAAGCGGCATTAAATTTTTTTTTAACGTGCTTGGGAACTTGGGAAAGAAATGCTCTCCTAGATAACTCACGGTTGAAGAGGAAATCACAATGGAAATTATAAAATATCTGGGCCTACATGACTAAAAATTTATTAAAATCTGTAGAATACTGCTAAAGTGGTCTACTTGTTATACCTTTATTTAAAAAAAAAAAAAATTGAAAGTAAATGAGTTAGGGATTCCTGGATAGCTCAGTTGGTTAAGCATCTGCCTTCTGCTCAGGTCATGATCTTGGGGTCCTGGGATTGAGCCCCGCATCAGGCTCCCTGCTCAGCGGGGAGCCTGCCTCTCCCTCCCCCTCTGCCGCTCCCCCTGCCTGCGCTCTCTCTCTCTCACTCTCTCAAATAAATAAAATCTTTAAAAAAAAAAAGTAAATGAGTTAAGGTCACGTCTTCATTCAAGAAGCCAGAAAAAGAATTACAAAGAAGAAAATCTAAAGAAAGAAGAAAACATTTAGATAGCAAAAAATAAAAGGAATAGGTCAAAAAAATAGTCAAATAGACAAACCTTTAATGAAACTGATAAGAAAAAGGAATATTATGAATGAAAAAGGGAAATGACTTCATATATTACAGAGATTTTAAAAGGCACAGAATATTGTGAACAACACTATGCCAATGAATTTGAAAAATTAGTTTTCTAGAAAAATATGTTATCACAATTAACTCAAGAAGACATAGAACATCTGAATAAATTAGTAATCCTAAAGACTAAATCACTAATCAGGAGTCTGCCTTCTCTCAGCCCTGCCAAAAACCCAAGGCCTGGATGGTTTTTTACAGATATATTTTATAAATCCGTCAAGAAGTCAGTAATCCCTATTACATGCAAACTGTTTTGGAGGATAGGAAAAAGAGAGGCCTCTACCCAACTCATTTTATGAGATTAATATTACCTTCATAGTAGATTAATATAAGAAAATAAAATTAGATCAGTTTCACCTAGGAAAATGGGAAGATCTTAAAAATATATCTTAGTAATGCATTTGCTAGGAATATGGTGAAGAAAGTGCCTACTAAAACCAACTGAAAACAACTAAATATTAGGTAAAACATAAAAATCAATTTTTTGAATGCAGCCATGAACTAACAAGAAAGTAAGGAATGTGCAAGCCAGGGAATGAGTGAAGGCAGAAGTTAGGGGAAAAATAATATGCTGTCTCTATGAGGATTTATTGAAGTAGGTAACTGTGAGTGTAGGTATTCAAGGCTGGATCCTCCAAGTGAAGCCCAGGGCCTGCCCAAACTAGTGTGTCTAATAAGAGATTCCACACTCGCACGTGTGTGTGCATGCACACACACACAGATCTCCAAAGGGCCACATTCCCAGAGGGATGCATCTAGAATGAACTAGAAATAATCCCTCATTATCTGAAAGAAAAACTGCCTATACTGGTCCTTGGCAGTGAGCCAAAGGGGGGGGTAAACATTCCTTGAGCATTTATAATCATAAGCCAGTTTTTATGAAGTTTTCAGTCTAAATTCATACCACCTGGGTGAATTAAACCAACAGTTTAAAGTGGACCAGGCCTGGTATTATCCCCAGGTATCTGATAGAAGCACGCAGTTTTTTTTTTCCATGAAGAAACCACCTTCATACCAGACCTTAAAGAATTTCCACAGATAACGTTTTCAGGAAAATAAGGGGTTCCCATTAAGAATTCCTACACACATAAAGTACCATGTGCAAGAGTCAGACTAAACAAGACTCAGAGTCATGAAAATTTCTTAGAGTGGAATTATTAGAAACAGAATGTAAGAATGTTTAATATGTTTTAAGAAATCAAAGGCCTAAAAATATGAGAAAGAGCAAGTAGCTACGCAATTGATAGAAATAAAACTAAAATTAAGAAACAGTTTTAGCATCAGTTTAGACAAAGCTGAAGAGAGAATAGAGAAATGAAAGAAAGAATAAAGGAAATTATCCAGGATTCTACTTAGACCAAGAAATTAAAAAGAAAAAGACACTATTAAGAGACATGGAAGATAAAATGAAAAGGTCTAACGTGCATCTAATCAGAGTTACCCAAGGAAAGGAGAGGATGGGCAGAGCAATATTGGAAAATATATTGCTGAGAATTTCAACAGTGATGAAAGATAACACTCTGGGGAGTCAGGAAGTCTGCTATATTCCAAGCTGAAAAAATTACAAGATATCTGCATTAAGCACATTGTGAAATCTCAGAACATCAAAGACTAAGAAAATGCATTAAGAGCAGATTTGCTTAAAAGAATAAGAGTCTGAGAGAAAAGAACTGTAAACCAAAATTCTGTGCCAAGAATATATATGTTTCAAGAACAAAGACACAGTAGGGGCACCTAAGTGGCTCAGTCGGTTAAACATCTGACTCTTGATCTCAGCTCAGGTCTTGGTCTCAGGGTCGTGAGTTCAAGCCCTGCATTGGGCTCTGTGCTGTGTGTGGAGCCTACTTAAGGAAAAAAAAAAAAAAGAACAAAG